AATACTTTCAAAGATAATTGCAATTTTAGTAAAAAAAATGTGTTAGTTAATATATTTATTAATTTTTATTTTTTGAGCACTTTGATGGACTTGAGCGAGCCTAAGATGTTGACCAAAAATTTCAATCTTGAACACAGATATTTTAGAGCATAATTAACCATATTGCAATAACCAATCAAAATTCTAAAAAAGCGGATTTTCGGCCCACGCTACCGTGCAATGCAGTGTGCATTATGTGTGAATACACTGAAAATAAAATTTCGTAAAAGTGCTACGAAAATCTTTTCTAGTCTTGGTTTTTGTGCAATGTACGAAACTTTCGTTCATAAAGAATGTACACGAAAAAAAACTGGTCGTACATAACCAAGCATAGCTCGGTTAATCATAACATTAAAATAAAAATCAGTAGACACTTAAAAAGCTGGAAGCATTTTCCACCTTACTGCATCATTTCTTTTTAGTAACAAAAATCAGTGTAGAAACGAGGACCAAGAAAGAAATCGATCGTGAGTTAATATTGCGCAAAAAGCTGGAAAATCCCAGCATGTTCCATAACGACATCGCAAAAAAGCTAAAATTTCCAAAGTCTACCGTTACTTATGTGCTTAAAAAATACAATGAATGTTTATCTTTAAAAAGGATCCCTGGTAGTGGCAGAAAAAAAGGATTTGCTTGCGAAATTAAGGCAAAGGAAGTGTTATCTGCTTTTAAGAAAAATCCTGGACTTTCGGTAAGAGATGTCGGCAAAAAATTAAACATGTCGTCTTCGTATATACAAAAAGTATGCAAAACAGCAGGACTACGTTCTTACAAAGTGAATGCAGCACCTAATCGCAACGGTAAGCAAAATTTGTTGGCGAAACAACGTGCTCGGAAATTGTACGACAGTTTCATACAAAAATTTGGCTGTATTGTTATGGATGACGAATCGTACGTAAAAGCCGATTTTAAAAAAATCCGGGGCCGCGAATTTCACACTGCAAATAAAAGAGGCAATGTTGCAGATAAATATAAAAACAAAAAGTTTGACAAATTTAACAAAAAGTTTCTCATTTGCAGGCAATTTGCCAATGCGGCTTCAAAAGTGATCCTTTTGTAAGCACTGGTACAATTAACCAAGAAATTTATGTTAAGGAGTGTCTGCAAAAGCGACTTTTACCTCTTATACGGCTTCATAAAGATCCAGTGCTTTTTTGGCCTGATCTCGCGATATGTCATTACGGAAAAATGGCTTTAGGATGGTAACATAGAAACAAAGTGTATTTTGTAGCAAAAGAGGTGAATCCACCTAATTGTCCAGAGCATCGGCCGATCGAAACCTACTGGGCCGTTATGAAATCCAAACTTCTTAAGACCCACAAAACTGTAAAAAACGCACAACAATTCAAAAATAAATGGCAGCTGGTTTCCAAGGAAATCGCTGAAACTTCTGTGCAAGGGCTAATGAAGGACATAAAGTCAAAATTGCGATCGTTTGCTTATTACAAAGAGAATTAACCCTTTTTTAACGAATTTCAATAAAACTAAGTTTAGATGTAAATATATGTAAATATCGTTGAATTCCATTGATATATTTATGTTTTAGAACGTTTTAACTGTGACCAGTTTTTTTCGTGTACATTCTTTAGTATGAACACATTTTTCACAACGAAACAAGGTTTTACGAACCATACGTAAATATAACGAAAGGACTTTCGTAAGGCATTTTTTCAGTTCAATTTACGCAATCTTACGTTTATTTTACGGAACACATTCGTAAAGCACTGAACAAATCTCTGTACGAATAATTTTGTATATTGTAGGAAGGCATTCGTAATATTTACGTATGGTTTTAAAATTTAGGAAAACTACATCTCTGTATTCGTACAATTTAGTTAATACTTTCGAATAAAGTACTAATGCAGAAACATGTTTTTTAAATTCGTACAACATGCGAATATTTTCGTACAATATACTCAATTACCGGCAATTTAATATTTCACCAAATTTTTATGTATCGCGTGTCATTGTGGAATTACTTGTTGACTGCTGTGAGACGAATAATATAATTTTAATCGTTTTAAAAAGGGATTTGCTGGATAAAAAAACAATACAAAATTAAATATTAAAGCTGTGGATATACTATGCTTTTAGGCATACAATGTTTTTAACATCGCCTACGCTGCGCCTTGCGCTGCAATGTGGGACTTGATGAATAGGAAATTTCATCAGTTACCTATCAACGGCAAGCCTAAGCCAGGAGAAAAATTAATGAAATTAAAAGTAAGTACGTGTATGACTTTTCACTGAAACTAGCTTTTCAGACGCCTTATAATTTTCCTTTAATTTATAGTCGTCAAGGAAACAAACATTGATGAAGCTGCGAATCTGTCAAGTGCATCTGCATAAAAATATTATAATGTTTAAGAAAGTAAAACCAGAATTTTTTATATTCTTTCATATTTTATATCATATTATATTTAGTTTTGTTGAGTCTCATAGTTTAACACTTTGCATCAATATACTTTGTTGAATGAAGCCTAAGATATAAAAAATATAAAGTATATAACCAATTGGTATGCATATAAATAAAAGAGTTAAGTTTTATTATAGGTAAAATAACCTTTTTTATTAATTCTAAACTACAGTGTAGTCAGAAAATAGTCTGTCGTCCGCATTGAGTGCAGACGTGTTTTTCTTTGCTCGTAAATATCCAAATTTATCTCTTGTCATTCGCGATGTCTAAGTGCATTAATTGTAATAATCATTTCAACGGATATGATTTTATCTCCTGTAATATCTGCTGCCAAAAAGTGCATATAATTTGTTCAAAATTAAACTCTGATTGTATCAATCATTTAAAAACAAACACAAATTTGTTGTTCAGATGTGATATCTGCGTTAATAGCACTATACCGATGTGTCTCTCCAAACTGGAAAAAGTGTGCTCATCGTTAAGTGAAATTCAGCAAGTTCTTGTGGGTGTTAGCTGTGCGAATAACAAAAATCTGTCTCTCAGCGATGAGAACAAAAGTCAAACCGCGATGAAGACGCGCTCTAAAGCAAAGGTCAACGACTCGTCAAACTCTAATTCGTCGGCTACTCTTAATAAAGCTAAACGTGCTCAGTCAAAGTCAACACAACAAAATGCCAAGAGCTCGCAGGCCTCTCTGCTTGCTGTTGATGGGGACTCTGAGAATTATGCAGCTCCGCGCAATCATGTTGTTGCTGCTGTAGAAACTGTAGTGCATGGGTCTGTTGTTGCTCCGTTATCACCGAATTCACATATTTCCACCATTCGTAATCAGCTTACTTCTAGTGCTGATGTTCCTACAAACATTACTGTCACTGCTTGAGCTGATGCTTCTACTAATGCTGCCTTCACTGGTTGTGAGTCCTGAGTCGCTGCTAAATCGCCTGTGCTAAATGTAAATGTTGGCAGTCAAATAAATAATGCTGATAATGCTGATTGGTACACAATGAGAAAGCGAGAACGTAAGCGGTCAGCTGTTGTGGTTGGTTCTAACATTAGCACGGAACTCAATGTTGTAGTGCGCAACACTTGGTTTCATCTCTCTTCTTTCATGCCAAATGTAAATGAAGATGACATTATTAAATACGTATCTAAAAATACTGCCATTGCTGTTAATGATATATTATGCTACAAACTGGTAAAAAGGTGACTCCATTGGACCCTATAAGCGGTTAAATTTTAAGCTTGGTATTCCCTCCAAACATCAGAACTTGCCCAGCAAAAAATCGGTAATCGCTTTTAGTGGTAACGTGTTCTAGAAGGCATAGCGTTATAATGTTTTCGGATTTTTTCGCTTCTTTTAGGCATTGCCTACAATATTTTGTTTATTTGGCTTCTTTGTTTCACTTCGGGGAATGCAAAGTAGAATGGCCTATAATATTTCTTTTTTAATTCGCTTCATTGCTTCATTTCGGGGAAAGCAAAGTAGAATGTCCTACAATATTTTTTTTATTTCGCTTCTTTGCTTCATTTCGAGGAATGTAAAGTAGAACGCTGCATCGTAGTCAGCTGAAAAATAGAATGAATATCCAAAAATAATTTGTCTACCGTTACTTTCTGTGGAAATTTGTCTCGCATATAAATCATGTTTTGCTTTGTTTAATTTGCGGCGAAGTTAAAGCCAGTCAAAGAAGTGAAGTACAAGAGTGAGGAAGTACAATTTTAAGCTTAATTAAGTATGCATGTATGTACATACCGATCTTTAAGTAAAATCTAAATACCCAAATACATACATATGTATGCATAAAAACTTATTTATAAAAATTTTAATCTTTTAAGACATTTTCTTACAATTGACAATTAATATAAATAATACAAGTTAATATAAATACATAAGTATGTACTTATCTAGGTGTGGAGAACTGTCACTGAGAACGAGAGCGAGTCTATGCAGGTGGAGTGAGAACGTAGTTAGTTGATTGTAGACATTCAA